TGAGAGCTGACAGCTCTCTGATAACTGACTCTGTATATTGGACAGCTGACTGAACAGCTGGGTGCCTCAGTCAATGGTGCTCCAGGGGCAACCTGCAGCATCAGCATCACCTGAGAACTGGTCAAAAGGCAAATGTTGGGCCTGCCCCAGACTTTCTGAATCAGAAACTCAGCCATCTGTACTTGAGCAAGTCACTGCTATGTGCTTTGAAAGGTGGTTTTGATTCACGCTCCAGCTGGAGAACCACTAAGTGAAATGCCTTTCATTTAGTGAGCCTGCCCCGCTGCTGCAGGTCCTCAGGGAGGGGAGTGTGAGGCCACAGGAGGTCTTCACTCTACAGAGCTTTACAGCTCCTCCCCTCATCCTCCCTAGGCTTCCGACCCTTTTCCTTTCTTCCCTCAACCTCAGTTTCTTCCTGGAACACCTGGGCCTCCTGGTTCCCAAACTGGGATTTCCTCATTGACCTGACTCTAGACCTTCCTTCCCCACCACCACCCCATCCCCTCACCGGCAGCCCCCTATTCATGCCAACCCCCAACTTCTCAAAACTCTTGGAGTCCCCAGCTCTCTACTCCCCCCACCCCAAACCTGCCCCACTCTTCAACCCAGCAGGGGCAGGAAGCTCAGGCCTCCTCACCCTCTAGCCCCACGAGCAGCAATGGCTGAGCATTCTTGCCCTTGTCGTGCCAGCACACGTCGAAGAAGGGGTACACAGGCCCAGGTAGGCGCTCATGGAAAGCAAAAAGCAGCTCCAGAGCATCCCTGTCGCTGGCATCGTAGAAGGAGAGGACGCCGTCACTGAAGCTTAAGTAGACCCCGATGCACACTGGCCGCCTCTCTGGGGTACGCAGTGCACGCGGATCCTTGGCTTCCACGTGCGCCTCCAGTATCTTGCCTTCACGCAGCCCCAGCAGCCAGAAGCCCTGTGAGGGCACGGCATGCAGCCGGCCACGGCGGTTGGCCTGGGCAGCGATCACTCCCAGTGCCCAGCGTGGTTTGTCGCCCACCTCTACCTCCCAGTAGTGCTCGCCCTCAGAAAGCAGCTGGTGTGCCACCACTGCCACGGCCTTGTCGAACTGGCGTGGGTCCTCCCCGGCTGGCGGCGCCTTCTGCTCAGAACACTCCACACGACGGCCAGAGGGTGACAGCACCAGGCTTGGGTGGGCTGTGCTCGGGTCCAAGGTCAGCTCCTTCACCACTGCCAGAGGGAGATCAGTCAAGCTCCTCTGTGTTACCCTCTAGAGAGCCTTTTTCCATAATCAACTTATGAACTGGCCTTATCTCCTCAAATCCTCCCAGCCCCTCCAGAATGTGAACCCCACTCTGCTTACTGGCTTCAACCAAAGACTGAACCTCTCTGAGCTGTAAACCGAGGCCATAACTGCCTCCCTCCAAGATTGAAGGTGGATTACATATACCCTGATACAAGGTATATAACTCAGCATCTGAGGCCCAGGTCACAAAGCAGGAGACAGTCAGGAAGCCTGGTGCCAGGCCAGCGCCTACCTCACAGGCTGTGACTTTAGTCAGCCTTGACCCAGTCTCTGGGCCTTAGTCTTCTCTTGGATAAAAGAGAGATCGCTCCCTCCATTCCCACCTCCTGCAAGGCAGTGAGGGCTGCAGAGCTACCTGTGCATGTCCTGGAGCTCTGTAAGCTGTAGCACCCTAGTGCACACCCGCCAACTCTTGGAGAGAGAAGGCTGAGCCCTTGGGCTGCCCCAGCCACAGGCCACCAGAGTCAGTGTCCAGCCCAGGCCAGTCCCCAGGTTCCCAGCTCTGCAGACCCTCAGGCCCCAATTAGCAGAGATTGTCATCTCCTGGCCAGAAGGGGCAGAGACTGGCCAAGGATCACACAGGGTTCAAACCCAGGCCCCAGCCTTCTGTGCTGCCAGCAGCAGCAGCACCCTTCCTGCAGGTGGTGTCTTCTCCATGTCAGTCACCCACCTATAAATCCCACACCCTCCAAGGTCCTTCCCTTAACGTGGGTACGAGGGTACAAGGGAAACCCTAGAGGTAAAAGGGGCAATGGGCACCTTCTTCGATGACCTTCCTAGCTGAAATTGGGAGGCCTCTGCGTGTGGCTGCAGGCTTCGATCAACCACACAGTTATAAACATAAACCCAGAGTAGCCCCTCCCAGTACCTGGCATCAGAGCACGGAACATCTTCCTCCACACCTGGAATTTGAAGTCATCTGAGATGACAGGCAGCTGGATGTCCAGACGGGCAGGTGGTGGAGACTCTGCCAGGATCTTCTGCAGCCTAGAGGTGGGAGGTGTGGGGAGGTGTCTGTGAAGGGACTTCCGAAGAAGGCATGAGGTTGGGGAGAGGGCAAGAAGCCATACCCAGGAAGAGAGGAGGACAGGACTGTGATGGAGTTCCAGCATCTCTCCACATCACACCTGGCTTAAAAGTCCTCTGCTAAATTTTTAGTTTGGAAAGATGAAAGTCCTAGAGATGGATGGTGGTAATGGCTACACAACAACATGAATATAGTTAATGACACTGAACCTAAAATGAACACAAAAAAATGTTTTAAAAGGTCGGTTGTTTGTTACATGTATCATACCACAGTTATTTTTAAGTCTTTTGTTGGGTCCTGACCAGTGTGGCTCAGTTGGATGGAGCATTGTCCTGCAACACTCAAGGTCACCGGTTCAATTCCCAATATGGTACATACCTGGGTTTTGAATTTGATCCCCAGTTGGATACATGTGAAAGGCAACTAATCAATGTTTCTCTCCCTCTCTTTACCCTCCCTTCCCCTCTCTCTAAAAGTACATAACATGTTTTAAAGTCTTTTGGGGGCATAAGGTACAAGCTCCTCCACTCTTCACAATTTGTCACCACCTGCCACAGCAGCTTCATCTTCTGTCCTCCCTCTTACTGATCTTTGCACTTGGTGTTCCCTCTGCCTGCAATGCTTTCCCCCAACTCTTTACCTAGCTAACTCCAGTTCCTCCCTCAGCGTCCAACTCAAATGTGCACTCCTCTGGAAAGCCTGCCCTGGCCACCCACTTCCCTCCAGGCAGCACTGAGCACACCGTGATGCCTATGTCCCTGCCCACACTTGTCTGGGGGGTTCCTGAGGAGAAGGAGCGGGTCAGGTTCGTTTCTATGTTCAACACAAAGTGCAGGGAAATTGCAGTGGACTGAATGGGAGTAGGCAGGCATACTGTGAGTAGGGGGTGAGCCAGCCAGGGTCCCTGAAGGCCAGAGCAAGTTGGGAAAAGGGAAAGGTCAGGATGATCTCACCTGCTGGTCACCAGACAGTATTTCTGGAGAGAGAGAAAGAAAACAGAGGTGAGGCAGGCAGGAAGGACACTGGAGACTTCTCAGGATGGGGTGGACCAAGAATGCTAAGTATGGGGTCAGGAAGAATCAGAAAAGCCAAGAAACCCAGAATTCAAGGCCAACTATAGCCCTTTATCTCTATGTGAATTAGAAAAAGGTACCCCTTTCTCAAGAAACTAATTCCACGTGGTAGACGATTGCCCTAAGAAATATACAAACCTACAATGTCTATGATATGAATGGCACCCACTTAGATACAGTGCCCTTGTGCTGTGCCTAACCTCAACAACCATAATGGCAGTCCTGGGACCCACACTTCCTCCATGTGTGACCCTGGCTTGTCCCTGCCCACCCTGGATCTCAGGGTCCCTGTCTGATCATGGGATGAGGTCTCTGGGGCCTGAACCCAGGCTGAGGGGCAGAGAGGGAAGATCGTCCAGTGCTCACCATGAGGAACTCAGTCTGAGGCTTGTCCACCACCTCATCCAGCACCTTCTCCATCTGCCGCAACTGCTCCAGGTAAGAGTTCAGGCTCCCCAGCTCCCGCCGCAAGGCAACCCCAGCCTCACTCCGCACACGCTCTGCTTCACTGTCCAAGGAACCCTCCAGTGCAGCCAGGAAGTCCCTCATCTTGCCCAGCTGCTCCCCCCACAGCCCCCCTGGAACTGACGCACTGTCTCCTGTGGGGGGCAGACAGGCAAAAGCACTCAGTTGGGGGACCCCCCCAGCATGGACCCTCTGTCCCCGGGCTCTGCCAGGCTAAGCCCCTCACCTCCACCTCCGTCAGCTGATGCTCCAGTACTGCCACACTCTTCTCCTTGCGCGTACATGCCTCCTGCAGCTGCAGCTTCTGTTGTGGGAGCTGTGTCTGGGGGTGAGACATAAAGAAGTGATGCTGCTGCCCTCCCCCCACCTGGGCCCCGCCCTGTAGGACTCACCTCAATGCCAGCTCTTCCTCCAGCCAAGCTGGCATCTTGCCATTTCCCAAATCCACTGGCAGATCTCCAGGCCCTCGCTAGTACTGGTCCTTGACATCTAGGAAGCCTTACCCTCCACTTGCCTGTTCAGGTTATGTCCTCTTTAGCCTGAGCCCATCCCCTTGACAGTCACCCCCAGCACAGGACTTTATGAGGGTGACAAGTCTAAGTGTGATTGGGTCTCCTCCACCAGAGGGGTACAAAGTTGGCACTGGCAGGCTTCAGGCAGTGAATGTAGGATATGTGAAGAAGAAATTCAACCTCCTCCTATTCCTGGGCTTCACCCCACACTTAAAAGCAGGACATTAGCAAAACACCCCAATCAGCCTCCCTGCACACAATGGGCTACCAGTTTGTGGCTCCTGAAATGCACGTTGCTGGGAAGGTCCTAATACCGCCTGCCAAAGCCACTCTTTGCTGGGAGGTGCATGGCCCTGGAATTAGGGGGTTCCATGGCTTCCAACCTCAGTTTCCTCTTCAGCAGAATGGGACCAGTCACCTGCACCTCGCTACTGGTTGCACCAAATTGGTGGCCTCCTCTCACTTCCCTTAAGGCAAACTGGGAGCTTCCACTAGGCGCTGTTTGTTGTTGAATGCCCGCCAGGAGGGAGCCAAAGAGTTGACCCGCGGGGGCTTCCCGTGCCAGCCGTCAGGACAATCTCCTCTCCAGGAAGTCCTCCGGGTCGTCCACAGCCCCGCCTGCCGCCTGGCAGGGCGGGCCGGGTGGGTCTGCGCTTGCTTCCGGCAGAGGTTCAGAGGAGGCAGAGCTGAGCCATGGGGAAGAAGCGAGACGCCATCCTGGAGGCGCTGGAGAACTTGACCCCGGAGGAGCTCAAGAAATTCAAGCTAAAGCTGGGGGCGGCACCGCTCCGCGAAGGTTTTCGGAACATCCCACGTGGGGCGCTCGGGCAGCTCGACGCGATAGACCTCACCGACAAGCTGGTCACCTTCTACTGCGAGGACTACGGCGCCGAGCTCACCGCAGTCGTGCTGCGAGACATGGGCATGCAGGAGGAGGCAGCAAGGCTTCAGAGGGTCGAGTGAGTTCCCAGCGTCTGGCAGATCCCATTCAACTACTCTTGAGTCTTGGCACTTGGTCAAGTCTGGTCTCAGCCTTTTTTCCTCGCCAAACACCCCGGCGTCCAGTCCCGCCCCAGCTTTCCTGGGCGGGGGAGCGGGGGGCGGCCCCCCTCCGGCCCCCCACCCCGCCCCCACCCTCCAGACCTATGGGCAGCCCCTCCCTGCGGCTTAAGGCTGAGCTGATTTGGACCCTGGCAAAGTGTATCCGGCCCCAACTGCCCCCTGGAGGCTCCTTGGACTCCTGGAGCCTTGTCCCATTTCACAGACTCGGTTCTCTCTTGGCAGATAAACACAGACGTGGTTGGGAGTTGCGCGGTTTTCAGGAGAGGTGAGTGAGCCTGGGTCGGGAGGGCTCCTGGGGAGAAGAGGCTCCTGCTCTGGACTAGGAGACCACCAACTAGCCCCGGGCAGGACTGTGTACGGCCGGAGCAGGAGGGAAGGTGAGGCTGGCCCCCTAGAGGACTCTGAAGGCCTGCAACATGAGCCTGAGGACTGGGGGGTCTACCCCCTCCAGGAGTCTCGGGCCAAGGAGAAGTGCAGTGCAGTGCTGATGATGTTTGTGGGCAAAAATAACCCGCAGAAGCCCACCTCGACCACCAGTCGTGAGAAGATGGTAGAGTCTCCACGGCGAGGACCAAGGACGGCTCCATGCCTCCAGTCCCCGCCTGCTCCTGCCTCTGCTCCTGTCGTTAATTCTAATGCAGCCCAATAAATGTTTGATGACAAACCTTCCTGGGCCTGTGTAGACACGTACCTTCCCATGATTTACCACACGTAGGGCATGGGCAAGCCGGTGTGCCCCTGTGTCTCCATTTGCCAATGTCTAGGTGACTTTTCTGGGCACCTGTGGGGATCGCAAACTTCGGGTGTGCACAGCTATGTGTGGGCTCTAGAAGCATTCAGGACTAACAGCTCCAACCAGAAAAACAGACTTGCCTTGAGTCTCGGTGCCAGCCAGTACCTGTGCACCACGCCGCACGCCTGGAAAATCTAGGTTTGGCCCTCACCATTCCCACTGAGCCCCGGCCCGGAGGGCCTCTAAACGGCTTCCCTCTCCGCCAGGTCCCGCCTTCAGCTCGTCAGCCTCCCATTCCTTCGCCCCCTCGGCCCTCCCGCGACCCCCGAAACACCAGGAGCCTCGGGCCCTGCAGCTCGGAGTCCAGTCAGTGCAGTAACCTTCTGATGGGCCCTGCCCCATCCTACAGTCCCACACGACCCGACCCCCGCCAGAGGCCGCCAGGGTCCCAAACCTTGAGGCGCGCGTGGGCTTCAGCTGCAGGCAGCAGGCGGTGGCCGCGGTGCGAACCCAGAGAGGCACACACGCCGCACACAAGCGCGCGGTCCTGCTCGCAGTAGATGCTGAGCGGGTCTAGGTGCTCCTCGCAGTGGCCCTGCGGCACCTGTGCCAGCCCCTCCACCAGGCGCGCCAGCTGCAGGTTGGTGCTGAGCGCCTGCGGCCGCGTGGGTGCCTGGCAGCACGGGCAGGGCGCCGTGCCGTCCGCCGCCGGCTCCCCTGCCGCTCGGCTAAGGCAGGCACGGCAGAAGCTGTGGCCGCACTCTGCGGTCACGGGCGCGTCGAAAAGCTGCAAACACAGCGGGCAGGACAGCTCCTGGTGCAGGAGGCTGGGGGCAGCCGACATGGTAGGCCTGGGTACAGGAGACATTGGTCAGAGAGGCTCAGCGTGCTGCCACCCGCTCAGCCCCAGACCCAGAAATAACCTCCCCGCCTCCCAGTCGTGGACATGGACGTTGTCTCAACCCCAGTACCCAAACACAAGCCTGGGTTGCAACACACGGGCTTACACACTGCCCACCCCTGTCTTAGCCCCAAATTCTCCAAAGCCCCCAGCGCTAACCTCCTTAGCCACACTCACCTCCCCAGGATCCCCGGCCCTCCCCTCCCCCATAACTCCAGGCCCGCAGGATCCACAGGACTCACAGGTCTGGCTGGAGACCTTGGGCAAAAAGAGGCTCCCGGGAGGCTCAGTCCGAGTCAGGCCTAACTAACAGCGGGGTCAGAGTTGTGTCTGAAGATAGGTAAGAGGCAAGGAACAAGCTCCGGACAAGGACAGGGGACTCTCAGGGGCAACCAGCAGTGAACACCACCGGGTGATGGGCAGCAGTGAATAGCAGACAGATCCTCCCAGCCTGAGCCCTGGCCCCAGGACTATATTTAGCTGCCCTGCCTCTGCGTCCCATCACTTCTGGAAACTGTTCTAAAAGTGAAGACTGAGTGGTCAGGGAACAAGCAACACATGTCAAGGCCACCTGTGCTGGCCTATCCCACCGTCCCTCCCTGCCCAGTCTGAAGCCAGGGCTCAGAGCCAACAGGAGACAGGGCCTCTCATACCGCAGAGAAGAGAAACAAGGTTGGTAAGAGTCTGCCCTTTCTCCCCCACCCCCACTTTCACCATCTCCAGCTTCCCCCTTCTCCAAATATGGCCCCTCCCCAGCTTGTCACCCACTTATTTCCCAAGTTTATGACTCTCCAAGGTCACACTGACAGTGTTATCTCCACCCGCAGAAAGACAGGACCTCACCCTACCCTGACATGTTTTCTTTCTCCAGAACTGAGGGGAGAGTCTTTTTTCTGTCTCTCCAGTGCTCAGCACAATCCCAGGGGCAAAGTGGGCCTCCCTTGATGTTTGGAAATAAATAATACAGAGACAGTTAAAAAAATGAATGAACTGAATCCAGAACCTGCAGCCAAGAACTTCATACGCCCTGGGAGCCTCAGGCCTTCCTCTGTGCTTACCCTTGACATCTCAGTTTAACTTTCATTCAGAATAAAAACCAAAGTCTTCACAGTGACCTACAAGGCTCCACCCAATATAACTCTTTGTATCTCTCACCCAACCCCTGCTCACTCCAGCCTTGGCCTTTATACTTGCTGTTCACTCTGCCTGGAAAACTCAAACCCAAGCACTGCAGGGTTCCCTCCTTGTCCTCACTCAGATCTGTACCCACTGTCACCTTTTCAGTAAGGCTTTTCCTAACTCCCTGGTTTCATTTATTTATTTTTAGAGAGAGGGGAAGGGAGGGAGAAAGAGAAGGAGAGAAATGTTGATGTAAGAGAGAAACACAGATCGGTTGCTTCTCACGTGCACCCTGAACAAGGAACAAACAAGCAACCCAGGCATGTGCCCTGACCAGGGATCGAACCCCGACCCTTCACCTTGCCAGAAGACGCTCAACCAACTGAGCCATACCGGTCAAGGCCCTAACACCCTGGTTTTAAATATCACATCTGCCTTCCCTGTTTTACTTTTCTTCATGACAATTATCACCATCTGACATACAATATATTTTACTCATTAGCTTTTTGTCCTTCTCCTCCTAACAGAATATAAATTTGTTCACTGCTTCTCTCCAACCTAAAGTGTGTGGCACACTGCAGGTGCTCAATAAATACCCAACAAAGGAATAAACACACAACTTACTGGGCCCTTCTCTTTGGCCTCCCAGTCACACTTCCTCTCAGAAAGTGGGACCTGGATTTGCTTTCTCCCTCAACCATTCTGTCTCTCCCAGAGAGTCCTTCCTGTTTCAGCTCTTAATTTGCCCTTTGCACTCTCTCTTTGCCTCTCTCTTGGGTGTTTAATATTCGTGTTTATGAATTTTGTCCCAGATGTGCACACAAGTTGTTCTGGATCAGAGACAGACTTCATTAAATACCTCACAGGGAACAGTAAATGTTTCCCTCCCTCTGTCCCCCATGCTCTTGGATGGTGCAATGACAGCCAGGTCCATCATCCCCTGAGAGTAGCCAGACACCCCACAGGTGAGCAGCAAGAATTATTTTTCCTGCTTACAAAAGGGAAGGAAACTGTTGTTACCCTCCTCTGCCTGTAGGTCTTCTTACTCCAACTCTTTGGCAGGTATACAAATCTCCCCAGGAGTCAGATAGCTCCTCACACATCATCTTTATGAGAAGTCTCCAAGGTCTCCAAGCCTCTCCGAGGCTTGTCTCCAAGCTGTGGAGCTCGTTTCTTGAATGCTTGAAGTTTTTTTGTGTTGCATGCTGGCCTGCTTCAAAAGCTACTCCAGGCTTCCTGGAACCCTGGAGGCTTAACCTAGCAACCTTGTTCAGGCTATAATCATTTGGGCCTCTCATGAAGAGATAAGAGAAGTTTTATTATTATTATTTTTCCATCAGAGCAATTAACTATACAAATGACTCCAGATTTAATTCTCATGATAAGTGAACAGTCTCAGGAAGCTTAAGACTTTTCACTCAAACCTGAGAAATCCAGGGAAGTTTGATTTCTCCACTCTACATCTAAGCCTCTGGTTTTCTCTCTGCCATTTTTGATGGCTCAGACTTGGCCTGGGGTTGGCAAACATGAGGGGCGTGGGGATAGGAGTGTTCCTGGAGCTGGTCTCTGAAACCAGAAGCCACTTCATTTGTCTCAGAAAAGTCAGCATCCCAAATGTACATCTCACCTGGAGTTTCCGTCACTGTCAGGCTGGGGCTGGAGGTTTGGTCAATAGGAATGAGTGGGGTCCCAGGACAGGAAGGTGACAGTCCACTCAGTACCTCTCTGTCGGTGGGCCAGGTCTGAATCTAACCCATGGAAGGGACATTGATGGTCTACAAGAGGTTAGAGGACAAGAAGGGGCCCAAAATCATGTCTAGGGGAGGAGGAGGTGAGGACAAGTGCTGCTGACCCTAAGGCAGGGCTCTGTGAGGTCCCTGGAGTCCCCAGGACTCACAGGGGACAGATTTTAGTTTCCTGCCAGGGATTAAAGCTTCCCAAGAGCTGGAGTGATAAGTGCAGCAGGAGGTGAGCACTCCTTGTATTGGATAAATGCAGAAGAAGCCAGAAATTCCCACACAGGACCACTGCGGAAGCAGGTCCTGCATGATGCTGACATCATGCACTCAGGAAAATCACCTTCCTCTCTGGGTTTCAGCATCTTCAGCTACGATACAAGGTTAAGGAGGGTAATGATGCCACCCCCGTAGGGTTTGCATGAGGACTTACCCAGACAATGTAAACAAACATGGGGATGGTGTGCTGACACCAAAGGGATTAGGAAGCGGTGACTGACACTACTAGCTTAAATCTTGACTCTGCTCCTCCCCTGTTGTATGATCTTAGGCAAGTTATGTAACATGATTTCCTCATCTGTAAAAGGAGGATTGTTTAAGGATCAATATCAGAGTATTTGATTGTTATGAAGATTTAACAAGATAATTTGTGTAAAGCTCATAGAACAATGCCAGGCCCATAGAAGATGTTCACTAAATGCTGGCTATTGATGTTACTACAATTATTACGAATGCTTCCAGTGAATCTTCGCTACAACCCTGTAAGGCCAACAATATCATCCCCACTTCACAGACTGGGAAACTGAGGCCCAGAAACGTTAATAATGACAAAGGCACCTACTATGTGTCAGGTCTGTTCCAAGCACTTCACAATTCTTAACCCATTTAGAATCTCATAACTTCATTTGTAACCCTTAACAACCTCATCATTGTTCCTATCTTACGGGGAGGCCATGAGACACAAAGAGATTAAGTGACTTGCCCCATGTCCTGGCAGTCTCTAGTCCTTCTGGCCCCAGCAATCTGGCTCCAGCAATCAAAGGGTTACTTTTGTTGGGTGGAGAGTCACACCCAGGAAGCATCTTAGCACTAACTGGCTCTGGCTCTGGTCCAGCACTTATCATGGGTCTGAGGTAAGACTGGAGGTTCTTTGCTGCCAGGGGTCAAAGCTCTGAGCTC